TGTCGTTTCCAATGTACTGAACAATGGGCTGGAGCCGGAGGTAGCATCCACTGATGTCAATGTACCCGTCGAGACTAACCCTGATCAGACATACAATGAACTTACAGGCGAGCCGCTGGAGATTAAACGGAACAAACTTGTTTTGCTATATATGGCGTCATTAATTGACGCGCGCCTTTTTGCTTGCACACACTGCGCAGCAAGTTCAATGAATGGGAACACCCTGGCACGCCACATGGTTGAAGAATGTGGTGCTAATACAGCAACACTCAGCCCGGATCCACTGCTCGTGAAGGCACGGCAGGAGGCGGAGGAACAGTATCGCCTGCAGAAGGCACAAGAGCAACAGGAACAAGCAGAAGTAAGCTTTTGACGACTCATGACACAAATGTTCTACTTTGTCATAATATATTACAAAAGCTATGCAAAGTAGATTATGTGGATGCAACGTCAATTGATCAGAAAGGGTGATGCTGTTTTATTATCCACTTCCATCTTTGTGTGCATAACCTTGTAGTCAGAACTCTTGGTTTGATATGAATTATCGTGCAATTCTTCACTGTGTTTGTTTGCATAACTTAACGTAAAAACTCATGGCAGAGCACAGCGTCAGATGGAACTTTTCATATATGTTATCCTCAGACATCGGGAGTTCCGGCATCATGATGGATTTCCCTAATTACGTTTTCATTGCTTTCTAGGAGCCCATAGTTCAAAGTTGATCTCTTTTGAATTCCCATTCAATCTCACGACTACGGTGTTGCCATTTGCACCATTGCACTTATAAAGTTATCGTTGCAACTAGCTCCAGCTGAAATCCCATATTAGAAATCCTTAGATCTGTCGCATTCCCTCCCTGATCATCTATCCTTTGGTCGTAAATTGGGCGAACATTCTTGTTTTTTTCCATTCTATCACGGTGTTAGCTGGTGTTTGAAAGAAGTGCTCCCGTTTTGAATGAATCAATTTTTCCAGACAGGTATCCTGTTTGAGTCGACTGATATCAACCTATCTGGAGCTGAGCTAGGTGCTGTCGTGGGCCAAAATGAGCGGACCGGTGAGGATATAGTAATGATGTCGGTCGATACCGATCAGCTAGCATCCTACGGCTTCATTGAATCTGATGATCCGAACGCGGTTGGAACGCATTTAGTAACTCAAGTTGGTCCCAACGGTACAACAATCGATGTGACCAACGCTGGTGGCGAAGTGGTTCAACAATTCTTACTTCCAGATGATTTGCAATTAGAAGAAGGACAAACTCTGGTCATGATTCAGGGCGAAGATGGACAACCACAGTTGGCCATTGTCAATCAGTCGGGTTAGTTTAAAGCATTTGATCATTCTTAAGTGATCTTTCGGAAGCGTAATGCTGAATGCCAACTTCTCGGTCGTGTTTTCATTTGTATATCATGCTACATTAACCACTGTTTAATACTTGGTATTCCACTAATTTATCCATTTTAACCATTACTTGGTGGAATCAATTATTTTCCGAAATAACAAAGAAGCCAACACTTATTGAACATCATTTAATTCAGGAGTTATTTCGCTGCATCTCAGCTGGTACTTAATACAGTAAATAAATTAGTTTCTATATCATCGATGATGATAATCTAACGCAATAGCAATTCACTTCTCCACCGCAGCAAGAGGTCTACATCAGTCTGGTATCCACTTAAGCGCAAGAATAAATGGCCATTATGTTAGAATATAATCACCTGTGATAAACAAGCTATTTTTCTGCGGTAAGTATCAGCTGCGATGCACAGTGATTCTGGAGTCAAATTGTGCCCAATCACAGTTTTGTGTTCAGTACGTGATTGTACATTATCCATATCACATCGATCGTGGTTCTGTTGTTTCTCTTATCGTGGCTTTTTTGACTGCATTCTATGCTTTACACTGTCGTAATCCACATTCTTGTTCAGCTGATGGTCGTTCGCATCAAAGCGCTCTCGTCTGCCACGGATATCTAATATGACACGCCTCCCTCATCCATATATCGAGAACGTTAATTGTTTCTTTGTCCTAGTTAAAATAAATGGAAATATATAAATTGGTAAGAAAACAATCATTTATCGAGTCTCACCACACCCCTCGAGAGCAATACGATTTCTGACTTCAGCAACCGCAGAGGCGATTAGCATCCGACTCATGAAGCCTGAGCTGTGTGCACAACGCAAATTGATTTAAGCTCTCAAACTCCCCTAGTCAGGGGAAGAGGAAATTACTTGTTCACACGACCATGACGTGAGTTTGGTTGTGATCCAAACAGTGCACGCATTCGGAGTTCCCTTGGGCTCATTACCAAACACATGACTCATACACCCTTCTGTTAGATCGTATTGAAATTTTTTCATGTAAATGTGATTGCAAAGGCTTGAAAAGGAATTCACCGAAAACATATGTTCGCCTACACTGTGTTCTTAATCAATGGCATATTCCGTAATATATATTATTACTATAGGTCCAACGCAGTTGTCTGTGCGTCAGCTAGATATGTTTCAATTTAATCGAGACGATGTTGAATCCGTAGCAATACACCGGTCCCCACTGCGTCCATTGGGTCATAGTGTCTGCAGCCAATTTAGTATAGACAGTCAATACCATACTGTTTTTTTCCCGAGCACTGTCCATAGGGGAATTCACTCCACAGTTGGTTGAAATGTTTATTAAATTATTCCAGTGTTAAGCCCAGAGCTTGTGTTGCGAGTTAACACAGAGCAGGTCTTTGTGAACATGGAGTTTATCCCTTCTAGTGACTGACACCAATTTGTGCAGTACGGGAGGAAATATACGAACAATGTGTTCCGAATTGCATTCAACAAATGTCAATTAACACTTGCTATTATTCAGTTTCGATAAGGTACCGTTAGGCACATGTGGGGTTTTTCAAGGACCTCACCACTTACGGATAAACTCCGCAAACGGTGAAATTAGTCGTGCAATATGAAACTGTGACTGTATACATGTTATCATGGTTGAAACTGCGTAATAATACATTGAGTAGCGGAGCGTTTTTTAGATGGTTCTTCCGTCACTCATTTATTCTTGCGTCCGTTCATTGTTATTCAAAATCAATCATTTCAACTCTCACATAGTGTAAAAGGCCATTCAAAATTTCCAACCGACTCGCTTTTCATAATTACCTAATTTACTTTACCGTTCTTCACAGTTTCGTCGTAGATAACTGATCAAAATTAAAACAAAAACGAAGTGATCTTTATCGTCCGATGATTGTCTACTTACAACTGGTATTTAATTAAAGTCACTTTTTCTTGTCATTCTGTCTGCACCACGTAAATTGTTCATTACACATCACACGACACGACTGGTGGTTCCTTCTTCCAGCTGTGATAAGGTAAGTAGCTTGTTAAACAATTTACCACGTCAAATAATGACATCCTCACTCATCATTATACAGTGAAGCGAACTTCACTGATCGCTGCCAAACTCATATTGCATACAAGGCAAGTGATAATGTGTAAGGAAGACAAGGACTGGATCTATTTTTAGGGACGGGAACAGAAAGCGAACATCTATGGTCAACAAACACACACACATTGCACATTTCAACTGTGCATACATACTGCTTCAAACATTCTGGTCTGATAAGAAGTAACAGCAAGTACGGTTCGCAGCCATGGCCTTCAGTGTCTCCAAACATGCGGTTTCAGAGTCTTTTGGACCCCAACTCGGAAGAGGAGAGACACCTACTCTACCTAATCGCGCTGTGCATTTCTTTATGCCCCGTCTCCATGTCATCTGCTGGCATCCACGTGGCTTTCTCCAGCCTGCAAGAGCCACTGCGAATAAGGCGTGTTGCGGTAGGCCTATTAAGCTGGATTCGATGCGATAGCGAGTTCTTATTTGATGTATTCTCAAACACCCGACGACTTCTGAGTTACTAACCCGCTCACTCTATCTCATCTCTGTCATCGATTGTCGAAAACTGCTAAACGACTGGTGTCTTCTACCCGCAAATCCAAAGGCCCCCAACCGTAAAGCAGAACTGGTCGTACAGCGGCGCCGTATACGCGACTTTTCAACTTCCGTGAAACGTCACATCGTCGCGAACAGTGTTTTAGTCCTACGTACGCTGCCCGAGCCTTC